CGTCGAGTACAGCACAACTACAATTTGGAGTACGTGTACAACTATAATTTTGGAGTACGTGCACATTTACATACTTGGAGCAGCAAAGTAAGAGGATATTTTCCAGACCAAAGGTGCGTGCATATTTCAATATAGATAAATGTTCTCATTTTTTCCAGAAAGCTTGATACTATAAATACTACTTATTTTATTGCGAAGACGGTGGACACGGTTAAAGATTTAGGAGTATATTTTGACTCAAAACTCACGCTCGCAAGCCACATAAATTTTATAGTGGCAAGTTATTACTCTATGTTAGCATTCGTTCGTCGAAACTGCTCAGCTTTCTTGGATCCGTATACACATAAGAAATTGTTTATTGCCTTTGTTAGCTCCCGTTTAGAATATGCTTCCATTATCTGGTGGCCTGCCCGGGTATCATATATAAATAAAATTGAGCGTATTCAAAAGATTTTTATTAAATTTGCACTGCGATCTTTAAATTTCACACAACCTTTGCCTTCTTACAACTCGCGATGTCTACTCTTAAGATTAGAATCACTTGATAACAGAAGAAAATATCCCTCTTGTTCCTTCATAGTAAAAGTCATAACTGGGGATATGGACTGTCCTGATATTCTAAGTAGGATACCTCTCAATATCTCTACTAGGAACTTGCGTCACTTCGACATATTCTATTTGTATAGAGTTAAATCTAATTATGCCATCAATGCTCCTATCAGTCGAACTCTTAGAGAGCTTAATCAAATCAATCGAGTTATTGATATTGACCTCTCACTTTCTGGAGGGATATTAAATAATATCCTCTTAAACTACCTTAATAATAATTAGTAGTTAGATAGTTTCTTAGTAGTCAGTATGAAAATATGTATTCACTGATGATAAATAAAATTCATTATTTTATAATAAGAGGTTCCAGAGATAAGCGGTATAAGAATTTCAGGTTTTATGGGCGGTGTCACGCCCACTTTCCCATTATCTACCACTTTCTCCATAAGTACGTTATTGATATCATAAATAGCTGTGTCAAATTTCAGGACGTTAGCATAAGCGGTTCCAGAGATAAGCGGTATGAGAACTTCAGTTTGTATTGGCGGTGCCACGCCCACTTTCACAGCACCTACCTTTTTTCGCCGTAAGTAGGGTATTTACAATCTTTGCATCTGTGCTGAGTTTCAGTTCTCCAGCATAATTGGTTTTAGAGATATAGTGGTTTTCACATTTTAGTCTATATGTCAGATCCCGCGCCCCCTATGTAACGGGATTAACATTTTTGGTTTAAAAGGTGTTCGCATGAGGCGATTTTTCGTTCAACATTTGCATTCACCTAACACCAAAAAAAAGTTGAATGGCTAAATGTAGGCTGGTGACCAACTTTGTTGAAAGCGATTAGTCGAATGGCCGTTCAACTAAAAGTAGAATCCAAAGTTGAACAATGCAAACGCCTTTTTATGGTGAATATTTTTATATTTATTTTATATTTTGATATTTTTAGCCATACAATTTTTTTTTCGTGCAACCTTGCGTGAGTTGAATGCAAAATCGCCTCATGCGAACAGCGTATTAGAGGAAGCTATGTCCTTTAAATCGGTGTATGGTTTCACTGAAATCGAGCGAACGGTGCCTTCAAAAAAGGGATTGCAAAATTTTCTTGTGGCGTATTTATATATAGATAATTTAATCATTAGCTAAACTCAACAACAAAAAAGTCTGTAATTTTTTTAGTTAAGTTTAAATAATGATTTAACTATTATTTAAAATAGATATGTTAACGGGCCTTAATATGCTATTTTTATTATGGAAATTTATGTGCGCCATGTGTTTTCTGCCATCTGCTGTAATTACTTAGGGAGTAAACGTCTTGGCTGTTCACCAAACCGGTCTATAGTTTGATCTCAGATTGGTTCTCTGATATAAACTTCCGATGCACAAATAGAAGACACAAAGCTAAAGACAAAGTGATAAACAATTGCACTATAAATTTATCTATTAATTTACCGTTCAACCCATTTTCCCTTATTGTCGACTGTAGCGAGGTTTCTACCCTTCTTAATGGAAGTGCTTTGAAGTTAGCGAGAATAATTTGAAACAGAACCGGATGATCCACATATCCAATTTTTAATCAATTTACTTATTATATTGTTAGCATTGAGGTATAATTTTTTATATAGTATGTATATAGATAGGAAAAAACTTGAAAGTTAGAGGGGACCGAAATTATTAAGCTAGCATTTCCTGGTACTATTTTGAATATATGGCAACGCCCATGTATAATAAGTTCTGACTAAATCCTGTAAACCGGACTGCTATGTGCTCATTTACACACGGCGATCTTTGTTGCGGCAACTCGAAGTTTGTAGGAGAGAGCGCGACAAGGAAAGGAGAGAGGCACCGATTTGCCCGTGTTCGGGAAACACGCTTTGTGCTCTCGTTAGTCTTTGGAAAAAGAGTTAGCGGTTCGCTGCTGACAACAACAATTTCTTACAAAAAAGTCGCCGTGTGTAAATGAAACGAGCAACACTAAGGGCCGGTTACTCAATGTCTGGTTAACACTAATCTGCGGTTAAACATCGTTATCGACGTTACCGACTCCCTGTTATATGCATGGAGTCGAAGACGTCGGTAACGATGTTTAACCGCAGATTAGTGTTAACCAGACATTGAGTAACCGGCTCTAAAAGGGAATATGAAAAATCGTGTCGACAAAAGTTTCCGTGTATAAACACAGACTACTAGAACAGACTATATGAAACTGGCATAAGCGCCACGGAGACGATCAAATATCTTTATCAGGGTGTCCAGATTGTTTAAAAAGAAAAGAGCCATTTCGTCGGTAACGATGTTTAACCGCAGATTAGTGTTAACCAGACATTGAGTAACCGGCTCTAAAAGGGAATATGAAAAATCGTGTCGGCAAAAGTTTCCGTGTATAAACACAGACTACTAGAACAGACTATATGAAACTGGCATAAGCGCCACGGAGACGATCAAATATCTTTATCAGGGTGTCCAGATTGTTTAAAAAGAAAACAGCCATTTCTGAAGAAATCGCTGTAACTTTTAATCGCTCGGAGCTAAAAATAAAATAAAAGCTACATATAATAAGACGAAATCAGCTATTTCCACAAATGAAATAGCGAATTTCACATTCAGCGGTAGTTGCCACAAATGGTGGTTTAATATTGTCAAATGTTCGATATGCTACAACAAAATCGATAACAGAAAAAAGTGCTGCCACATCTAAATTAACGGCGCGTTTACATTGGACATGCTGTCAAGACAATGAAGATATACGTATTAGTTGTCAAAAACGCATGCATGGAAGTCATGGAAGTATGCATGTATTAGTGAAAAAGTGTGCATATATTGCTATTGTCATGACAGTATTGTCCCGTGTAAACCCCAGCGCCACCTGTGGTGTCAGCGTACTAACTCAGCGCTTTAGTGCAGTGTACTGAATTGAACACGGTGCCATCTGAGTGTCACTACAGTACCCATCGTCATATAGTGTAGTACACCATACAGTGTTGTCATGTCTATTATTTCTATAATTTTCGGCGCTAAGCAACGCTTGTACCGCCAACCAAATTTAATTGATAGGAATGTAGTAAATGCCACGATATTCTCATCATTCTTGAGTAAAGGCTTTAAATTTGCGTTCTCAACGCTCAAAAGCAAAAACAAAGTATGTACGTGTAAATTTTCAAAGGCGAATTGTGTTGCTGCCTCATGTGTTGCTTGGTTTAATGGCGCTGGCGCTTTCCATATACTGGTGTTGGCGCGGCAACTCCGGCTACGGTGTTACCGTAATTGCGCCGCGCAGCGCAGTGTTACCCATGCCTATAACCTACTTATCACGTGTTTTGACGCATTTAGATGATAGCGCGCAAAAATTTTACTTGAAGGGAAAAAATCGCCAAGGGCGATTTCCTAAATTTGTACGCTCAAATATCAAAAAAAAATTACCAAATTGGCGCTAAATCGCCCAATCTGTATACTCTGATCTTTATCAAAGCTTTAAGTTTATTGTTGTCGTCGAATTTTGTCGGCGACACGTACACTACACCGACTCGTTTTCGGTTATGCTTAATGAAAATCAAAGAATTTAGATATTTCAATTTGATGACTGTTTATTTGATCGTCTCCGTTTATGCTTGACAAAAACAAGCTCATTTGCGTTGTCAAATTCGAAATGGTGGGATACATATGTACATACATTACACAATTCATTAATTATATACATACAGCTACATACATACATATATGAACATAATTAAGCATACATATTTGTAGATATGCATTGAATTGTACCGTAATTATTTAAATACACACAAAATAAAGAACAAAGCACAAAGAACATCGGGACATAGGCGACGCGACTGCGGCCGGCAATTTGTATAAATAGAGTTCGTCACAAATGGCGCCCGAGCAGGGACAAGATTAGACAATACTAGAACCAGATTTGACAGCAAGACTAGAGTGGACTAAAGAGTGAACGTTAAATGTGGTAAGTCTGAGTGAAAATACTTCAAAAAGAGAGCACACATTGAAAATGCGGACTTCAGAGAGAGAATAGAAAGTGAAAGTTCCAGAAAAGACTCCAGAGAAAGACCAGAAAGCGAGTGAAGTGAGAAAATACTCCAAGTGAAGCAATAAGTGCAGAGCAAGTGTGTGAAAAGACCCACAAATATTGTCTAAGAACAGTGAAGATGGTGACTAAAGGGCTGAGATTTCCATTTAGGAACCAATTGCTATTCCGAGCAAAGTATACTGATTTTTTTTATGAAACTCGGTGGGGATACTAATGGAGGTCTCCTTTAATTATATTTATCACTTTCACAATGTTGTTGCAAACAGTACTTAAGTTATTTGTTGTTAAAATATCCCGCCTCCTATCACTACGTTTTATTATAACCCCACACCTATCACTTTTATTTACACAAATAGGCATAAATGCAGTTGGGCTCCAGATCTCAAATTAAAAAAAAAATATTGGAATCGATAGAGATGATTGAGCTAAGTATAACGGTATACTTTTTTTTGGGCAAACAACAACAACAAGAATTATCAAAGGTTAAAGTTCAAAATAAGCAATTTTTGGAATCAAGATTTCTCAAAAACGATAGAATGGATTTTGAAAATTGTCATTTCTCATTTAATAGCAAATTTGATTCCCTTTAATTTGCTATACGTACTTTATATATATGTTGTATAGTTCTTACAAAAATTGAATTAATTTAAAATAGTTATAAAAAAAAGCTTACAAACCCTAAGTGCGGCCGACCCCGCCTACGCAGAAAGGTGTTCTCTGCAAAAGGTGTTCAGTGCCTTT